TGCTGACATGGATCTACATCATTGAGATCTTATGATATAAACATATAAATATGATGTATACAAATCCAAAAGAGTCTTATAATTATAAACCTGGGCTCATATACGTTATATGGACTGTATCTTTGACTGGAGAGAGGCAGGATGTCTCAGTAGCAGCTCTGTGGATATGGAATGGGTGCTTTATTAGCATGGTACTACCGGTAAATCAAAGCTCAGCCCTTCCTGGAACAGCAGCAAACCTTTTTTCCCCACTGAGCACTATTACTGAACAATCACAGGCCAGCCATGATAATTAGCAGAGTATCTCTATCTAAACGAGCGCCTCTCTCTCTAGCGCTTTCAGACCTACTTTTCCCCCTCCCTCCCATCATATTTCTCTCTGTCTCTTCTCTAACTGATGTCTGGAGGGACTTATGGAGTTTGGGTGTGGCGCTCTCTCTGGAATAGAGGTTGAGCTTCACTGTCCACAGATGAAAGATATAACCACGAGCCGTACCAATAGTGGTAAAATGCTCCCTTGCGACTTTAACTCGAAATTACTCTGCACTTTTATTTGATAATAAAAAACAAACACAATCTTGCTGGAACCAGGGCATTCTCAGTCTATTTGTTTTTGATGATTGGAGTCTGTTACCCTGATGAGGACAAGTCATGATAAAAATCATAATCATTAATGAAGGGGGTCTGCATCATTGATTAGATTCTGATGTAAAAGGTAGAACGATACCTGAGAGGCACATTAATACCTTTCAGTATAGCTGCTACGGCTAATCCCCTTCTACGCATTACTATCTGTTTTGTTTTACTGTGTTTTTTCTTTGTTTTCTCCAGAGTGTAGACATTTTCCTTCCTCACGCCCCAGCTGATCTGGTTGGATTGCACTGGAGGGAAAAATAAGTAGAGAGTCCAAAATCCAGACGCTCTGCGCTGGCTCCTGTGCCGCGCTTGGAGTGCAGTCAAAGCGCTGTTAGCATAGCTGAGACACATCAACATATGCTACGGGGTTCTGTTTGCAGGAGATTTTGGGCAGTAATGAACAGATGGCAGAATGTGTGAGCATGTGTGTGTGTATTTGTACATGTACGGGGAGCGTGTAAATGTGTGCAGCACACAGTCTGTATAGTTTGTGTGTTTAATGGAGCGAGACCAGCACACTGGTGCTGGTGGTGCGGGGGTGAATGTTATGAGGCCTTTCTTGGGTAAAGATTCCCTATGTGATAGTGACGGCACTTTCTTCCTCTCTTTCCACGGCCAAGCGGCATCTGGAGTGGATTTTGTGCGAGCAGACACCGAAGAACATGATTACATTCAGTTAACTGTGCTCTAAACTGATTATGCATGTGCCAAGCTAATGGACTACATTTGCAAGAGGAAAAATAACATCCAATCAATCTCAATTACCCCAGATTGTACCGGCCCCTGAGACAAGGATGGTAGCCAGCCCGAAGCTCCTCCTCTTAGCTTGAAAGGCCTGCCTGGAAGACCTGCCTCTCTCCATCCTGTCTGGAGCAGAGAACCAAGTCTCAGACTCAAGGCTGGCTTGAGTGCAGCCCAGCACCTGAGAGATGCTTACTCGGCATGAACAAGAACTCAAATATCAAGTGAATGTGTCCCTTACAGAGTGGTGGTGTATACTTGTGTATATAAAAGTGGTGCAAGAGAAAATTGAAGGAAGAGTAATAATGCAGTATATGGATACTTAAAATCATCATGGAAAGGCATTTGCAACTCATGGAACTAAAATTAGCAAAAAATGTAGGGCAGGACTCAATCCTATCTGACAGGATTGTAAAAAGTCTCTTTATGACAGGTGGTTGGGGGAGTGGGGTTGCAAAATAAGAGGGTTTGTTAATGTTAGCCAAAAAAGCAAAGTCGCAAAAAGCAATTACATTTTCATGAAAGATTACAAAGATATATATTTTAATTGGAATAATGTGCACAGATCACGAAAAATGAAAGCGATTAGGGTTGTTCTCGATTTCTTGTGCACTTTCTCTGACTCTGAAAATTGAAGGTTCCACCAACAATTCAGAACTTGAGAAGCCTAAGCTTTGTCTTGACCTGGGTATCGTTGTACAGCCCATCTGCAAGTGCTTATGGGTGACTATCATGACATCATTCTCGCCACAAAGCAGCCAGTGAGCGGGAACTTGGAGGGAGCAGTAGAAGGTTAAAGTTCTTCTGAGATGAGTGCAAGACTGACTGACGGGTGTGTCTGAAACCAGAGAGGAACTCGGTCCTGTACCCCAGATACCAAAGTCGGGAAGCATCACCCCTGCTGTGCAGTGGTCTATGCGGTTAGAACAATTCTCCCAAGCTCTCCAAAGGCTTTCGGAACATTCCAATCCGTGGGGTTGTGGGGGAAGGTGTATTTTTAGAAAGCCCTAATATGTGCCGCATACCACAGACTCTCAAATTATCCCATCCAGCTTAGCCTTCAGTTTAAACCTTTCTTTTTAATTCCAGTAATTACAGGCTCCAATTTACGGAGCTGTGCACACAAAGGGCCTGTTTAATGCAAACCAGTTTGATCTGGGCAAAGTGTCCCAAGGATCTACCACATCTTAGAGCTTGTTTATGCTGACTTGATGATTTATTTTCTCCCAGCAGGAGGTCGAAAAATTTTGCATTTTGTATCAGATTTCATTTGGAGGGAATAAATAGTATGTTTTTCATTTTCCTTTCCTGTTTTACCACTTGTACAGTCAGCTTAGCTGAGCTAGCAAATCATACTGTTGGTGTCAGCCAGTCAGTATGTCTATCAGGGCTATAAATTCACTGCAAAGTGAAGCCTGTGTTATTGTGGGGTTAGAAACCCATGCTACAGCAAGACCTCAGCAGCATGTGCTTATCGTCCTCTAATCACATTTGTATGTCATGAAATACAGCTATAACTCAAACTGTGAATGTCTTAGTTTTGCGGGTAGGCCTGTCGCCACTGATGGAAGCTGCTTGTTTACAAGGCTGATGCTGTTGTCAGTCAACTCTTCTCTCTTCCTCTGTTCTGATCTGTGGGGTTTTTAGGGCTGAGGAACCATTTTAAGCAGCTTAAAGCTTACAAATTATCATGCTTGGATGTGTCGAACATTTCTAATCTGCCACAGAGTACTGAACATTCGCAGTTAGGCAGACTAGTCTCTTCTCTGCAAGCTCTCTTTCTTTTCAGGGAACGTCGGCAGTGGAAGGAATATTATAGTGCTTCTAAAACATGTTGGTGCTAACAGCATAGACATCATTAATGTAAGTATGAGGTGGATGCTGGAATTTCCCAGAAACAAACAAACAAACAAAAAACTGATCCATACAGCAAGATTAATTGCAGTTGGTGGCTAGATAAGATATGTTCTGCTATTTCTTGCCATTGATGCTAAAATTCCTGGTTTCTTGGGTTTCAAACCCTGCTTAGAGCTACATGAGGCCCATGACTACATCGATTCCTCCATGGGTCAGCCATGCACGTTAAGAGTCTTGTGTTACATATTTGAATCATTGTGGTATTTGTAAATACGCTCATTGCATGTTCCAGCTTGAGTATGGCAGAAAATTTCGGCTCAGGCTTGTCTGCTTTTATCACCAGATGCAGTGGAAGCTGGTTTATGGCCTTCCCCTAATCACCATTACAAACTAGTTCATCAGGGGAACAGCTGACCAAGAGTCTCTCAGCCCAGACCCAGGGTAATGACAAACCTTGACAATGCTAGAATATCTCTGATTGTAAAGGGTTCATAAACGGGAAACCTGCAATGAAGTCAATGGTGAACTGGACTTGAGTCTTGGTAAATTTATATCAAAATGTAACAACATAGCTCTGCCTCCTTTTCAGCTGCCCTCACTTAGGTGGTGCTGGCAGGGAAAGCAATGTCAACCAAAAGCCAAATAGCTATTAAGCCATTGTTTTAGGCTACGTTTGGTAAGGTTAATAGCCAATGGTGTCTGACCCTACCATTTTTTTTTCTCTTTAAATATTCAGTTTCACTCTGAAGTATGTTAGAGTAGGTTGCAAATGCATGTTGTCTTCAAAGATCCCTGAATAAAATGCAATAAAATGTATTGTATATTTTTGTTCACTCTCAAAGGTTTAACACTTGAGAAAGGAGTGTAAATAAAGGTCAAGTAAGCATGGGCAGTGATTTACAGCTGAAATGGGTGGTATGTGAGTCAGTAACTCATTGAGCATGTGAGAACAAGCGACAGAGAGAAAGAAAGGGAGCATTAAGGAGAGAAGTCCCTGTGTGCAGTCGTGCCAGTCTAAGTTAAACACAGCCTGAGCTAGGCTCGCAGAAACACAGGATAGGTGCCTAAATGGAATCAGGCCTGTTAGATTTATGGCCATTTGTTCAGAGAGTGTTCATCCATTGGCTATTATGGAATGATTAGAGTAGAAGGTGAAGCTCCAAGTCCGGTGAAAATCAATACGGCTGTCGAGAGCGATTCTGCCCTTCCCACTCCGAACGGTATTAGCACCAAACCTCTCTCTCTTCACACTTCTTCATCCTCTCTTTCAGCAATTTCATCAGCTGCCCTTCTCCCCACCCTGCTGACCTGCCATGTTCCTCCCTCCCTCTAAGTGTCCCTGTTCTCCCCTCTCCATTGCATGCACATTAGACCTTAACATACTGCACCGGGCCATCACTCATAGTTGGCCATAGAGATGGAAAGTGCTGGTCGATTCAGTCGTACAGTAGGCTGGATGTGTGTTTAAAACTCGTAGAAAGTCTAACCAGAAAGATGCTACCCTGTCTCTTCCAAGTTGATCGGAGTTTCTGTCCTAACCTCCCTTGAGAAGCTATAAGGCATGTTGTTGTAGTGATGTACTGGGTAGCTCTGCCCAAAGTGAAATCTTGTTGGTTCAAAACTTCCCTTTTCCTTAATTTTTTTAAAAACAAATTCTGAGATTGCTGAACAGAATTGTTGCTTTAAGTGTAGACAGAAAAATTACTTGAGGCTGGATTACTTGTCACATGGCACTTGGTTAGGGTAGGACCACCAGAGTTACTCACCTTGTACAGCTTGAGACTGGCCTCATGGCGGGAGTTGACCGTGTGCATCCTCAGTTTTTCCAGGCTGTTGGTATAGTAGTCACAGGCATTGCATTTGAGGTGCACAGGGTTGCCAATGGCCACGCACTTGAGGCGCCACTCATTGCCCTTGCCGCCCTCCTTGATGTGTGCCACCAGCTGATACTTCTGCACATGTTTGTCAGTCTTGCAATGCAGCTGAAAGTTGGCCTTGAGCTGTGTGGTGTAGTGGCACAGCTTGCACTGGTGTGAGTCGCCCACCACCGCTCTCCACTCCTCCTCTGGGAGCGAGCGCTCGGCGCTCATGTGCAGGCCAAGCACTTCCAGGTTGTCGGTAGTGAAGCGGTTGCACACAGCGCACTGGAAGAGTTTGAGGGAGGGGTCGCTGGTCTGGGATAGGCTTTCACCCAAGGTCATCAGCTCCTCTGAGACCAGCTGTCCCCCACCCAGGTGTACATCCATTGCAATGTCCCCTCCAACTGAGAACAGAAGACACAAAAATGATCACTGATCTGTCAGACAGAATATTGATCTTTCACAAGTACACTGTCTCTTTTCAAATACAGCATTTAGCACTACTTTTAATTTTCCATTAATTTTCATCTGAGGCAATAAGGGACATATGGACACATGGTCCAATACAATGTAACACTGAGGGTTGGGCATTTCATCTGTGCTGATTTTCCCTCCCTCATTAAAACTTCCTCAAATTACAAGAATGTCCTGGGAAACAGGGAAAAGGTGCATAGTTCAGCCTTTTAACAAAGAGTCATGTTTGTCTGTGCAGTCAAAGTGAATTTGCTCTCCAGGATAATGTGCAAGTGTGTATTTATCTACATAATTTTATTAAATCAAGATTATCCTTTCCTTTGTGCTCAGAGCAAGAGTAAGAAGAGAGAGAGAGAGGTGTGGATTTACACAGTCCTGCACTTTCATAGCCCTGCCATTAAATCAACTCCAGAGGCTGTGAGCAGAGGCACAAAAATAAAGTTATTCAATCATTACCGGAGATCTAAAGAGTGCTCAGGCTACATTACTGTAAATCAACTACAAGCATATTTTCACTAAAAAAATTATAAAAAATATAATATAAAAAATTAGATCTTCCTTCTTGAAGTCTTGGTCTTTCACCTCTGATTGGGAACAAATCGATCCTCCTGCTCGAAGTGTTTGAATTTAAAAAAAAAAATTATTAATGTATTTTTAAGGAATGAAAAGAAGGTGTGGGAGCCAAAGAAACTATAAATTCAACAACAGAAGCACAAGGTCTCAAAGAACAGCTTGAGGAAGATGCTAGAGGCTGAGATTTGGAGACGAGGGATGCATAGAAGCTGTTGCCTCAGTTCGCTGATCTTCAATCTGTCACTGCCCAGATTGAGAGCACCCACTGAACCAGTATGGCTTTACACTAAATTAATTCCAACAGCTCCTTTTATTTATTGGGGCAGCATGCAACCTGCTCATTTCACCATTACCTTCAGCTTTTAGTGCAGGGTTAGAGAGACCTCTGACAATCTCCTTCAAATCATTGTAAGATCCACCACTCTGAGGAAAACTATTTCTATTTATAATGCTTTCTCTTAATTTTAATCTCTTAATTTTATAAAATTCCTCCTTTTTCCTTTTCCTTTTTCAACAGTTTTTAGGCTTTTTTATGCCTCTTGTTGCCCTTGTCTTTTCAGGTTTGTTAAACTTCTCTTTAGTACTCTTACAATGTGCATCGATTAACAGTCATTTTCTTTTCTTTCCATAAACCTCTCATGTAAACATTTTTAAATCTGTAGGTTAAGTTCAGTATTCATGACCTCTTAAGCATGTCTCGTAAGAACATAATTTGAATATTTTGCTTTTGTCAGTCGATATCAATGTTTAAGTAGAGTAGAAAATGTTTTTATAATGGAAGCATTATGAAAAACACTGGAGGCATTAATCTGAAAGGTTTTACAAGTTGTACTTTATAAAAAACAAAAACAAAATTAATTTATATTATGATGACCGGAGTCCAGAGGTCTAATTTGTCACTTATATGCAAATACCTAAATCTGATAGCTTGTTGTGTGAGACTTTAAACATATGAAAGTGCACTGAACATTCCAGATTGTTTGTGTAATGACTCCACTCTTCTTTATAAGTCTTATGCCTGTCATTTCTTCCCTGTAATACGTTTATTGAACATTTCCTCACCGGAAAACCAACCAAATCGTTAGAAGAGGGAGGATTAAAAAAAAAAAGAATTAGTCACAGCAATCAATTCCTGTTTGTGTCTTTGAACTTGCAACAGTTTGAAACAAGTCTGTGCAAATTGTGGGCTTATAACTGGCATGCCAAATTCTCTACTATGCTGCTGAATTACCCTCACTAGGCCCCTTTTCCTTCCTTTTTTGACTATGGTAAAGTATATAGCTGCAATTACAAAAGCAGGAAACAAGGACAAGCTGGTATGCAGTGGTAGTTGCATAGTATTGACATGAAAACAGTGATGTTTAGTATGAGCCAAGAGGACAGGGCCATGTGGAACACTCACCTGGCCCCAGTCTACTCCGTCACACTATCTTTCACAAGAAACACAGGGGCAGCAAAAGGGGGGATTTCCCAGCCAATCTGACCCAGATAGAATGACACATAAAGATGCGAAAAATAAACCGAAGCTTGAGTGTTAAGAAGATGTGTGTGCCTGTCTTTCCTACTCGCTCACGCCCTCTTTTTCTCTGTGTGCCAGTGTCTGAGTTGCAGAAGCTGAAATCTCCAAGACTAGTAAGCACTACGTGAATATGCTAAAACTACATTCTCCTAAACCTAATGTACCAGCTATGCTTTTTTTTTTTTATGTGTCAGCCTTGATACAAACACATATAGTCAAACTATTTTCTTGTTTCAGGCATTAAACCAAGCATGATATCTACATTAAAGAATCATGTCTTTATTTCAAGAAAGCTACATACTGAACATGTTGCCACAGATTTTTTTTCTTTATGCTGTAAATCAGGTTAAATACTTGTCACTCAAGTCAATTCAAGACTGAAGAGTGCACCTTTCATAAAGCATGTTGACTTCTCCCCCCACTCCACACATTTTGCTTTCTGTACATTTAGGTAAGTGGCCTTTATCTCTCTGCATACTGACACTCGCTTCCCTTCAAATACATTTCAACCTTGCATGTGCCTATTTCTCTCTCCCTCACTCACCTTTTTCAAAGTTGTTTAAGAGAGTGGGTGAATGTTAAACAAGGAAGGTGTGCCTGAAGGCTACAGGCACAGACAGAGCTGTCAGCATGGGGAAATACAGTGTTTGTAGCATGTGTTAGTATGGGTGGAGATAATAATGTTAGCAAGAGGGGGGGGCGGACTAAAATATAACATAGAATTTTTAAAAATAATCTATCACCCATACAAGATAAAAAGTCAAATAGTTTAACAGGAATGGCATGGTTTAAATCAACATGAAAGGCTCTTATATGTCTTTAAGAAATTACAGATGAATAGTTAAACACAGAGACAGTGCTCAAAACCCACATGAACTGCCATATGTGTTATCTGTAACTCATTAAACTCACCTAGTGCTGGGGCCAGAGCCGCCATGTTGGGGTCCAGATGAAAACTTCCAAGCAAGAACTGGGCATCAGCTCCAGATGGGTCCATCTTAAGGCCCGGTGGCAGGCTCATGTTTTGGGTCAAGTAGTATTGGTACAGCTCAGCCTCTGAGGGTGAAGGCATGGCACCTAGACCAAGCCGGCCATGCTGCATTTGGGTCATGTTCTGCTGAAGCAGCATCATGTTGTGCATGTGTTTCTCGCTTGTCATATGGATGCGCAGGTTACGTGCTACATTTGTCTCATAGTCGCACACCTCACACCGCCAGGTGGGCTTGCTTTTTGGCTTGGTAGGTGAAGGGGCACCACAGGGCCCTGCCATGTGGGTGGAGGACTGAGCTGGATGATGGTGGTGACTAGGATGATGGCTGCTGGCCTGGGTAGCAGAAGAAACAGGTACCACCCCTCCAGGTGCATGCCCAAACACCTGTTCACCAGCGGTTGGAATAGTTCCTCCATTTTGTAATGTCTGCATGTTGTTAAGATGCTTGTCAGACTGCATATGAATGCTTAGGTTGCCTTTGGTGGTAGTGGAATAGTTGCAGACCTCACAGCGGAAGGGCTTGTAGCCACAAGTGTAGCTCTCCCCACGGGCAAGGCGAGGGTGACTCTGTCCACTGGTGCAGTATGCACAGGAGCTTCCAGAGTCAGGGTGCTTTTCCTTCATGTGGGCCTCCAAGGTCTGCTGGTATTTGTAGTGCCAGTTGCACTTGGGACACTTCAGTGTCTTGCACGAATTCCGTGAGTGCATCATGGTCATATGGCCACCCAGTGAACGAGAGGAGCCTAGGACAGTATCACACTTCGGGCACTCCACCCCACTCCCTCCACTGCCCCCAGCCCCATGGTTCTGGGTGCATTCACTCATTCCTGACATGTCACAAGCAGCTGTGTGATGGAGGTGCGTGTGAGCATTAGGTGAAGGGTGTGGGTGATGGTGGTGAAAGTGGTGGTGGTGGTGGAAGAGGGCACCGTTGTCCTCATCTCCCTCTGCTGGGCATTCATTTGGTTCAGGAGCAGTGGCACTATCTCGATTGGCACTTTCCTCAGCAGCAGCATTGGACGCAAGAGGGGAGGACGTGCTCTCAGAGGAACATGCGGCCCCATCCTCTTCGCCCCCTCTGCCGGCTATTGCCGCGGGGACTGTAGACCCCTGGCAGTTAAAGCTCAGAGAGAGACCTGAAGTTCTCCCTCCACTGTCTGCAGCCATCCAATCCTCTGACCCTCTGACAGAAGAGGAGGACATGGAAGCAGAGGCTTTGCTGCTGAGTGCAGGGCTGGCTGCAGAGAGACAAGCAGAAGGCTGGAGAGCGCTACTAGGCATTAATAAAGGAGATTTGGAGATGCTTTGGTTTGAGACAGCCAGTTCCCCCACAAATCTGCCACCGCTGCTGCTATTTCCACTACAGGCCACCGTAGTGACTTCATCCTCTACCTCTTCATCCTCTTCTTCTAAAAGAAGCTCATCCTCTTCCTCTGAGGCCATCTCCTCACCGTGAAGGAGAGCCTTTCTTTCACAGGTTTCTGCATCCCCATCCTCCCCTCTATGAGTCCCCTCTTTCACCACAGACCCCTCTGTTCTCCTACCCTGCTTGGACAGAGTGTTGGAGTCTTTGGCTGGGCCTGGGGTAGAGGTATGGGAGGTTTTGGGGCTGCCAAAACCCCCCAGCCTGAGGAGGGCTTGTTGCTGGAGACCCGAGTCAGAGTCTTTTTTGAGGAGGTTATCACCTACCTCACTACTGCTGCCCCCTTCTAAATGAACCCCACTGAACATGCCGTAGAAGCTCTGGCCTGAGTTCATGGGTACCAGGGTTGGCGGTGGAGGAGAGTTTTTATTTTTTGGTTCTAGGAAGCTAATGAGTGGTTCTTTGTCTTTCCCAATGCCCTGTATAATCGCCGATGCATGCTTGTGGCCTAAGAGCCTGCGCTCGTCCTCACATAGGGTCATGCGATGGTCATGGACTGCATGAGTGACAAAGGAGCGTGCGTAGCCGAAAGACAACTTGCAGAGGAAACACATGAGGATGGGCTTGCCTTTGCCATAAAGGGCCAGGCCGTCAAATTTGGAGAAATCCACGTTGTTGGGAACATCTTTGGATACACAGGATTTCTTGGCAGACCCGTCACTGTTCAGGTAATCCTTGTTGCTTTTGTGCCGCACATCAAAGACGCGGAAACTGTGCAGGACAGGACTGAAGCCTACCAGGGTTGAGGTATTGGGGAAACCTTGGTCTGAGGAGCCGAACCATTTTCCGAAAGACGAGGCTATATGAAACGTGTTGATGATCTGAGGGTACACCGAAGAAGAGGTCCCCGCAGGTTCCCCTGGTTTTCCCCCACTGGGGAGAGAGTTTGAAGGGAGCAGGCCTGGTTCCATGCTCCCATCGCTTTGGATCAGCTGGCTGAGACTCTCCACAATGTAGGCAGAGCCATCAGGCTGGTAGACTATCTCTCCAGCCAGGTTTTCCACATCACTACTCTCCTCTTCCTCCTCTTCTTCGCTCCCACTCTCAGTGGCTCCCCTCCGATGGGAGGGCTGTTGCCGCATGAGCATGGGCATGCCCCCTCCACTTGGCATCATAGGCACACCAGGGAAGGGCTGCAGACTAGGAAAACAGCTATCAATCTCCATTTCATCCAATTCTTCCAAGTCTTCGTCCTCTTCTCCACAGCTCACTCCTTCCTGCTCCTCCTCCTCTAACCCCTCTCTTTTGGGGTGCAGCCGTCTGGTAGTGGAATTATCGCTGGCAGCCTGTGACAGTGTTTGCTGCTGCTGTTCACTTACAGCCTCACAGGTTGTGCTAGGATTCTGGAGCTGGGCTGAGTGGGGTGCAGAGAGAGACAGGGGCTCCAAGGAAGGGGACTGGTTACACGGTGGGACCTGTGCGTTAGGGTGATCGTTCCAGGGTTGTGGATGGTGCTGCTGCTGGGATGTGGTGGAGGAGCCAAGCCCATCGTCTGTCCCCGAAACCACGGGAGACTCACAGCTTTCCATGCTGATGCCTACATGAGGCGTTCATCGCATCCAGGCCTGATGAGAAAAAGAGAGAGAGAGACAGGTGTAAACTACTGCTTGAAATGTACAATGCCTTGTGAAGTCTTGTGAAACTGAACATTCAACCAGACATACAAAGCGTCTTGATAAATGGTGAAGCTATGTACACGTACAGTGAGTGGGGAGCAGCTTAATGTATAGTAAATTAGATGAGAAACAAAAGTCTGAGATATAATGGTGGAAAATGACAAAGTGCTCATTAGGTTAGATTAGGTACTTAAACACAATACCTCAGACAAGCACTAATAAGGCAGCTCAGATGCCTCATCCTGTCATATCAGCCAGTTACCATCTTTTATCTAGACCTTCCACACAACACCCGGAGTCTTCCATGTTCCAAATCCTGCATACATTTTTTTTAATTAACGATGAGTATGAGAAACACAGTAACAGAATAACTTAATGGATAAAAAAGCTCCATTGTGCTGCTAATTAGACACAGTGAAACCCACCATCAGCACATGATCCATCTCACACCCGAAGAAATAACTGAAGGTTACAAAAATATATTAGCCATGCTGTTTTAAGACCTCCATTATAGAAAGATCCCACACACAGAACACACTGCATGAATAGATCATGCCCATATGATGCATTTAGAAGATGTGTACATGCTTTTTACAGCAAGCATTTTTATTTATGTATATAAATACACACAACAAAGAAATAAAGATTTGTTTATATTATTTTTTAAGCTCAAAATACAACTGCAATGTTGGTACTTCAAATTATGTATGTATAGATCTAGCATCCAATAATATGCATGCTAAAGCCCCGTTCACACCAAGGACGATAAATATAAAGATAACGATAAAGATAGAGTTCTAAACATCATTCTCAATATTAAAGAATAGCAGAGTCCACACCACAACTATAACGATAAAGACAAAGAGAAACGATATAGTTGGAATCACTTTCAAAACGATTTTTCTCCAGCTGATGAACGATAAAAAATTGACAGCCAATCAGAATCCATCCTGCTGTAACGAGCTCAAAAATTTAAAGCGGCAGACGCGCATGCGCTTAGAATAAACAGACGATATCGTTCGCTGGTGTGGACGCTAATATCGTTATCTTTATAGCTATCTTTATAGTTATCGTTCTTGGTGTGAACGGGGCTTTAGCCTGGTTTTAAACACTCCTCTGCCTCTGAAATAATAAATGAGAGTGAACTTTCCAAAGGGGAGTGCTACCCTGAGCAACAAAAGAGCCATGAGCAGGCCACAATTTCAAGCAGGCGATAAAGGAGATAAAATGATAGCAAGAGATACTGCTGAGCTAATAATTTTAATAAAGGTATGCAGGCAGCATTGATTAAAGGGGACAACCAGACTGAAACCAATAACTCTGGCCTGCCCTTTCACCCTCCATTGCTGAATATTACATGAGCAAAGTTTCCCGGCAGCACGCTAACCACCGCATCCTGCCTGATTAGCACATTGACTGTCTCTACTTGATTTATTTACTTACTTACTTAGGGATGCAAATTTCAGCAGCGATCAGACTCTGTGTCTGCAGCCCCACCCCCAACAAATGTATTAACATGAGTGTATTTGGCTGGGGAGATTGATAATGTTTGACTCCCTCTTCATGAATGTCTGATGAAAATTTGACACCCCTCAAGTCCTGCCCACAAAGCCACCCGCTCCCTCCCCCACCCATGTCAAACAATGACCATGTTTTTATTTTGTGTGTGTATTTTGCTAATTATGTTGGTTTAATTCAATATAATTAAGTGTTACACTATTATGAAGTCAATCAGCAACAATGTTTAAATTCAACAACTGACAGAAGTCCAAAAATAACATTCCAGTAACCTGTTTCTATTATGCCCCCCTCAACGCTGCTGCAGCATTATGGGATTGTGTGTAATAGATAGAGTAAAGAACTACTTAAATTGTTAAACATAAACAGCTAAAGGATTATGACTCAGGCAATCACAAATGGTCATTCCTGAAAATCTGCCATGATACGCTTTTCATTTAAAGCAAATGAGATGGTTTCCTTTAAAGAATTAAACAGTGCTAGAGAGTGGCGGCCCAAGCCGTCTGGGCGCGTCTGCTTACAGAAAACAGGATTGCCCTTTAAAATGGAGATGGTCTAATTCAATAACCTGCACTGGTTACTGATGTGCAATAGGATTGTCTGGAGTCTGCCAGTCGCAGATGGGCGGGCAGATATAATGTAGTTTGTCCGCTCAAGGTCTGCTTCCAAAGCAACACCTGTTTAAATAATCTTTAAATCTCTCTCCTAACCTAACGAAAGCTCAGACAGAGAAGCAGAAGCATACAGGAAATGCATATTAGGCCTTTCTCTCACCTTATACAAGCACCTTCTGCCAGTCAAACACTCCATAAAAACAAGTATAAAACATTGTTTCCTTTATATCCTACACATTCTGTCATCAAGGGCTCATCTTCACTAAACAATCTGCACTTCATGCACAATCATGAAGTTATGAGGCAGGAATTCCAGGGTTTCTTAGAGGAACACAGAAACTCTTCTAAACTCAAATTAAGCAGAATAGAAAACATTCCCTCTTAACCTGCCAAACAAAGAACATAAGGTGTTTAATGATTGAAATGAAAACTGTCAGAAGCTGGGTCTGGATGTCATTTAGAGGGGATAGAAAATTAGATAAGTTTTTATTTATGGGCCTTTTCATTTGGTGGGATTTACTGGCTGAGCAAGGATGGAATTAAAGGATAAGGACCCGTCTGATTATAAGCACGCACATTCACCTGCCCAGGGGCCAGGCCTCCAGACGCCCAACGCTCCTGACCCTCTCCTGGGGAATTAACTCCTGCTCGGCGCCAGCTGAGAACTGCCTGACCCCCAAGGGTTAGGGCGCTTACTGAAAAATCAATGGCATAAATGCTAGGCAAGTTACAGGAAGATGTGGGAAGGGAAGGTTCCTATTGATAAAGCAGGGAGGGCCTCCTGATATTGCACAGAGGGATGTATTCACTGAAGCTGGGTGAGAAGGCTTCATCTTTGAAGAATAAGCCAACTGAATCGCATATATATGTGGAGAAACTGTTCACCCCACTGCTGCATTATCAATCTTAATGCTAAAATGCCTGAGTTTTGCCTAGTTAAAAATAAAACAGAAACTACAACTAAAACATACGTGAGCTGACAGAATATTTGTGTCAATCTGCACATGACGTAGCTGAATACATGAGCAAAACGCATACAGTATTTATGTATGTAAGGACAATGAGGAAGATTTCTGCAGCAGTGCTCTTTATTCATATTTGTTTTCATAACATTGTCTTATTCTCCTCCCATCATGTCTCTCATCCAATCAAAACAAAGAAGCCAACAGTAAATATAGTTATTCAGTAAAAAAATATATATAAATAATACATCTAAACATAATATAATTATAAATAATTATATCTCAAAATAATTATCTCTAAACTCTAAATAATAATAAATATAATTAAATAAATGTTATATTTTTTTGTTGACAACATGTTGATTGTTGTTTACAATATAATATAATATAATATAATATA